TATTTATTTCAAAACCCCCTTCCCCTCCCCCTTTTCTGATGAAGGGTCTAGGCCCGAAACGTCAGCCTCTCTGCTCCTATGATGCTGCTTGGCCTGCTGTGTTCATCCAGCCCTGCACCTTGTTGTCTCTAATGATGCATGGAACTGTTTTATAGAGCAACTGTTTTATGTTGAGTAATTCAGGATGAGCAAAATAAAAGAAAACAAAAATGCTGGTAATACTCAACAGATCAAGCAACGTGTAAAGAATGGAAACATGTACCTTTGAATCATAATTCTTGAATTCTGACAAAGTGTTAAAAAAGTATGAAAGCCAAGGTCACAAGATGTTTTTATATGTATATAATATATACAATATATATGTCATGCCAGCATCTGAAAGAGAAAAACAGATTCATGTTTGGATTGAACATTGCATAAGTATGAAATCTAAACTGAGGTACAAAGAGGTATAGGGATAGGATTAGGTTATAGTAGATGGGGAAGTTTGGTTGCTAATTTTGAGGGTATATTTTCCTTTTTGCTTCGAAAAGCATTTGTTTCCCGCCCCTAATTGCTCGATTGGCAGCTGAACTGCCACCTTGAACTGCTGTGGTCCATCTCAGCATTGATACATCTGGAATATTCTAGGAAGAGTATTCCAGGTTTTGTATCCAATGACAGTGAAGGGACAGTGACATCATTCTAAGTCGGGTTTTGTGTGTTTTGCAAGGAAACTTGAAAGTGATGGTGTTTCCATGCGTCTGCTCTCCTTGTCCTTTGATGTGGTAGTGATCCTGGATTAAGAAGATGCAGTTGGAAAAACTGGGTGAGCTGGTGCTGTCAAAGGAGCCTTGGAGAATTTATTCATTGCGTCTTGTAGATGGAACGTACTGCTGCTACTGTTAATCAACATGGGAGATGGAATGCACAAGATCAATATGAGCTACTTAGTCCTGGATTGTGTCAAACTTCTTGTGTTGTTGGACCTGCACTCATCCAACCAAGTAGGGTGTATTCCAACACACTCCTGAATTATGCCTGGGCTTAGATGTTTTGTCCTCCAAAAACCACAACCATCTTCTTTTGGCCTCAGTCAGACTCCAACCAGTGGAACATTTACCCATGCTTCCTTTCGACCTCAATTTTGTGAGGTCCCCTTGATTCCACATCTCTGTCAAGAGCAATTATCTCACATCTCTGTTCTTGACTTGAGCTCTGTCAACGGGTTTTTAGTTCATGGCTATGATACGGTGTAGAGGTGTGTGACCCTGGCAGAAATTCCAACTGAGCATTGTAAACAAGCTAATGCTATTAATGACACATTCCATCACTTTATTGATGATCCAGAGTCAACCACTGGATGGTAATTGAAATTGCTGCTTATTTTTGGTAGACTAAACATACCTGCGAAATTTTCCATATTATTAGATAAACGTCAGTGTTGTGGCTGTACTTGAACAGCTTAGCCAGGGATGCACTGGCTTCTGCTCAGCATTCCTTCAGATATTTTTGAAAGGAGTTGTGTTTGTGTGCAAGCATGTATGTCGTCAAAATAAGATGATTTTTAAACATTGTTTTATTTTGCAGGTGCTGCATACAGGGTAGCGTTATTTGCACCAGAGCAGTTATTGAAAAAGGAGCTGATGTCAAGGATTGTCTGGTCGGAAGTACACTGCGTGTGGATGCTAAATGTAAGCAATCATCCATAAGCGGAAAATGTATAGAGCTTATTTGAAAAAGCCCCTACTTGTAAAGCTAATTTTATAAAATATTTTAGCTACTGCTTTCTTTCCCATCTGGCCTTTCCATAAAACTGTGGCCAGATGTTCTGTTTCTAGGTTTGGGATGACCAAGTTTTCCAGAATTCCAATTATGGCGATTTAGCTGAGATGCAAAGCATTTTATCAAGCCTTAAGTATTCTTTTGAGCCAGTTTCCTTACAATTCTGAATTCTGCCTAGATGAATATTTCCCTCAGCTCTTTATAACATTTAATTTCATATTAGCACTGCTGCCTCGCAGCACCAGAGACCTGGGTTCAATTCTAGCCTTGGATGACTGTCTTGTGTGGAGTTTGTAAATTCTCCTTGTGTCTGCATGAATTTCCTCTGTGGGCTCCAATTTCCTTCCACAGTCCAAGGATGTGCAGGTTAGGTGAATTGGCCATGAGAAATGCAGGGTTGCAGGGATACAGTAAGGAAGGTGTGTCTGGATGGGATGTTCTTTGGAGGGTCAGTGTGGACTTGATGGGCTGAATGGCCTGCTTCCGCACTGTAGGGATTCTATGATAAGGTTTCTGGCTGAAACAGTTGCATTGAATTAGCATACTCCTTAAGTTTAAAAAAAAAAGTTTAATAATTAAATTTGTGAAATATTACATTAGGAAAGAAAGCTTTGTGTAGATTGCATGTCTTTAAAAATGTAAAATGTATGCATACGTGCATTTTTTAACATGAATTCCCTCCCAAGTACTACGCCATACAGCAAGGAAAATTCATTACCATGATCCTTTGTCAAGGAGAGTGCCTTCGTCATGGCAAAAGTACTGAAATTGTCCAAAATTGCAAGTCCCGCCCTTGAACCCAGCTTCTCTCATTTTCATGGGGGCAGCTCATGATTCATGCATGCCATTCCTGGAACAAGTTGGCTGTTACAATGACTTGCTACCTCCACAACAATATGATCTTGGATTTCCTGGTGTCTGAAACTCAGAGTATGGAAATTAGACAAGTAAGAGTAGGTCAATTCTCAATACATTTTATTTGGATAGCCAAGGCACCCCTATGGAAAGCTGCGGTGGTCATGTGGATTTGGTCTAGAAGACCTTAGTGTTGAGGGTCAGGGATTCTTTGTGGCTGCAGGAGGAGTCCAGTATCTTTTGTGTGTGTGAGGAGCGGTGGGGGGAGGTGTTCAGGTACACTTTAGGATGGTCAGCTGTGGAGAATATTGTGTATAAATGATGCATACTCCCCCGGGAACTTGCCCATTTCTCAAAAAGTAGGGGTTACCATTGGCCAGAAACTAGAATGGACCAGCCATATAAATGTTGTGACCACAAAAGCAGATCAGAAGTAGGAATTCTGCAACAAGTAACTTACCTCCTTATTCCTTAGATCTTTCCCACCATCTAAATGGCACAAGTCAGGAATATGATGGAATACTCTTAACTTGTCTGGATGATTGCAACTCCACAAATACTCGCAAATCTTGATACCATTCAAGACAAAGCAGTTTGCTTGATTGGCTCCCCATCCAACACCTTGAACATTCACTCCCCTCCACCGGCACAGAGTGGCAGCAGAATGTACCATCTACAGGATGCACTATAACCATGCATCAAAGCTCCTCTGACAGCATCTTCCAAACCCAAAGTCTTTACCACCCAGAAGGATAAGGGAAGCAGAGGCATGAAAACAGCACCACCTGTAAGTTCCCTCCAAGCCACACACCATCCTGACTTGGAACTATCCATATCCTAAAGCTCCCTTCTTAACATTACTATGGATGTAGCTAAATCACATGATGAATCGTAGCAATTCAAGAAGCAGCTCAGCCTCACCCTCTCAAGGACCGTTTGGGCTGGGCAATGAATGCTGACCTAGTGACTCGCCCTAACACACTGTGAATCAACAAAAAAAATCTTTTTCTCAACAGAGTGTAGTCTGCAATATAGAAATTTAAGTAACAGAATTATACTTTTTCTTATATCTGCTTAGACACCTTAGGACTTTTTTATTCATTTACTGGATGTGGGCATCGTTGGCTGAGCCAGCATTTAGCATTTGGGAATTGAGTAAGAAGGCATAAGATTGCGCAGGATGTATGAGGGGGCTATGGAGGGTGGGTACAGCATATAGGTTAGTGTAGGGATTACGAGTGGCCATGGGACTTGGGTGCAGGATTCTAGGTTAGCATGGAATATGGACAGAGAATGAAGGGGTAAGAACAGGGGAAGTGTTTGCTATTTTTTTAAAACTTTGAGCATTGCGCCAGAGTCCGCATTCAGTCCTTCCCATTCCTTCTTGGGAATCAGACAGCCTCTTAGCCTCTCTGGGGTCACCTAGCCCAACTCCTAATCCAGGATGCAGCCCTAGGCCAAAAATTGAAAGTGCAGGCAACCGTTTGTAAAGGTCGGGTTGGCGGAGCAGGAATTCTCCAGACTCCGCACCCCCTATAAGGAGAACAAAAATAGTATCTGCCATTGCATCTCTTTGGATGAGCCACAGCTTGTTCTTTCCTTTCTCCATTCTATAAGGATTTGCCTTGGCTTCATTGAGCACTCTGCTAATAGCCCTCACTGAGACAAGGCAATCGGTCTTTGTTTCTTCAGTTTAAATAGAGTACTAAATGTTTTGCTATTGCTTTCTTTCCCACATCTGGTTGCCAAAGAATGAGACTTGACATCCTGCCAGCTGTCGAATATGTATCTCTTTGCTGAATGCTTAATAGTGCAATTAAAATGTTGAATTGTTTTATTACATGTTTACCCCATAGTCTACTATGTTGCAAAAGATATTACCAGTGCATAAACACTGTTTAGTTTAATTGAAAATGTGTTGAATTTTATTATACAAATAATTACAATTTAAAGACAATATTCGGAGCTTTGTTGTTTTAAACATCCTTTATTATTTTAAACATTGCAGGATAAAATGTTTTCAGGGCATTTAACTTTTTCATTAAACAATGAAACATTTGGTTTACAGTAAATACATTTGACAGCTGGCAGAGATGCCATTACCACATTCTTCAGCCAGCCCAGAGAACAGTAAAACTTCTCTCTAGTGTGCTTCACTGTCTTTCAATTGCATTGCCTAGTGTTTTTTTAAAATATGGAAAATCGTGAAGTGTATTCTCTTGTTCTCAGCAGGTTAAATCTTTGTGAAGCATGGTGTATTTATTTAGATGATTATTTGTAAAGAATTTATTAAAATTTCAGAGATCAATAAGGAATTAATTCAAGATCCTTAGCAAGTAGTGTTGGTGTTGCCTAAAAGGCCTGTGAGCATTAGTCAGGTATAACTGTTCATTCCACAGACCAGTTAGCCTGATTCTGTTTATGCAGGTGTCATTTGGCAAGCCTAACGTTTTTTCACCTATTCCTAATTGCCGTTGAGAAGTTGGTAGTGGAATTCTGCATACGTTTTTGAACAAATTGAATAATCCTAGATATAATCAGCAAGAAGGTTTTTGTTTTGAAAAAAGTCTGTATAATTTTGCCTGACTGCAGAAGTTCTAAAACAAAATATTGGGACCAGTCTAATATTGCAACTTCAGTAGGTCAACCATTTTTGTCTTTCAGATGTATGCCCAGGATTACGAGAACTGTTGAGACAATATGTTATTTACATACTAAGTAGCACACTTTTTGCTTTTTGAGGGACGGAATGAGAGAAGCGAATCTTTTGTTCACCACAAGGAAGACTACGCTTTCCTTAAATAACTGGAACCAAGAAGCTTGCAGTCCAATTACTGTGCTCACTGGTTCTTTACTAATGACTGAGAGTGACACACATGATTCAAATGTCTTGACTATCTTTTAGACTTTAAAACTCTGTACTGGATAGCAAAATCTTAAAATAGATTTTTTTTTCCCCAGAAACAGTGCAGATCCAACCTAATGTGAGACAAAATATTTTAGTGTAGCTTCTTTTCCAGCCTACAATGCATTTTAGCACTTCAAAATTTCACAACTATAACAACAATCAGATTAAAAATTGAAAGCAAAAATGGGAAGGTTTTTTACCTTGATGGGAAAGTACTGACAAAAAAATGAGGAAAACTTGGAATAGCAGAATTCCCAGTTTGGAAATGCATTGCACATTTGCAGGAATCCACTCATACAGCAACCATGATTCCAGGAGTTGGACCCACCCCAAGCAATAAACATGCTATAAAAACTATAATAAAGTAGAATTGCTATTTGGAGTCATGGTGGTAGTTTAAAATATGTAAAATGCATATCATTGAGGTCCTGTGATATTACTTAGGAATTTGACATTTTTAACACATCGCAAACTCATCAGTGTTCAATCTACTAGGAAAAATATCATGAAGTTTGCTTCATAAAACCGCTGGATGAGTGGCAGTGTGCTTTTTGGATATATAATTAATTTTTTTAGCTCAAGGAATGGCAGGTTTCTGATTTTTTTTTTTTGCCACTTTATTTACCCTGAATAAGCACACAGTGTGTATTGTGCGCGTCATTTGTGTTTTATTATTTAAGATGGAGTTAGACAAGTAATATTGTTAGGAGCTACAATACCCTGCAGGATTAGTTGTAGCAAGACAACAGATTAGGATGAGCTGCTTGTAGACAGTTTTAAGTAGCCCAAAGGGTCTTTCGGCTAAGACCAAGTTCTCTGGATATCTTGAAGCATAGTGCATTATTAAAACTGCACTTCTCCAAGCAAACTGGTCTGTAAAGTTTACTGTGCTCAAAATGTTGGCTGTTGTCTGAGGTAACAATCTTTATGCTTGTGGCTATCAAAGTTACACCACCCTGAACACATTCAGCTCTTTCCAGGTATATACGCAGTTTCCACAAACAAGTCACCAATGCTGTATTTTCCAAGATCAACCAATGCATCTACTTTTAATGAATGCCAACACTCTGCTCTTTATTGCACAGCAAAGGTCGACCCTCCATTGCATCCAAAGTGTTTTTGTGTCTGCCATGGCACCAGAAGATG